TGGAATGACTGTGCACTGGCGGTGTGAACTCTTCCGACGTGTTGACAAGAAAAAGGGGCAAGCCTTGATTCCTTTCAACCAAGTTTGCAAGCGCCAGCATCAACCAAACATTGTGTACAAACATCTTCTGCCCACATATGTACACATGCGTGCGTGTCTATGGGCATTCTATCTGTGGAATGACTGTGCTCTGGCGGTGTGAGCTCTTCCGACGTGTTGACAAGAAAAGGGGCAAACCTTGATGTGGAGTCTGTTGTAACAAGCTTGCAAGGAAACAAACACTCAAACACAGCAAAGCACACGCTCACAGACCCTGGCAAACGAGGGTCCACTCACATCATACCTCTTGTGGAAGCCCCATGCCAAGAGTGTGTTTATTTGAATGAATATACGTGTCTACATGTGGCGTGTCCTGAGCCGGACCACCAGCGGAGGGTGACCAAGTTGTCAGCTGTGAGTGTTGTTTTTTGTTGATATTGTCCATCAATTCCAGAAATGTCAAATGTATGAGCGTTCTATCTGTGTTTTGACTGCTTATTCTCAGTGGAACCCCTTTCAAAATGGTTCCCAAAAATGGGGCGTTCTAAGCGCATTCTAAGTTACGGGGAATAAGATTTTGGGATTCGCCACCCCATTCTATCTTTCACTACGTCGGTATATATTGTATATGTATAAATACAGATACGGTACATCAGAGTTTCTAACTTTCTAACTGCCGCCGATCCGTCTGCTTCAACTTGTACTTGTGAAGGATACGTTCATGGCTGAAAGCAAGGACGCGAGCAGATGCAAAAGATTGCAAAAACAATCAAAAGCAAGTCAAATGCAACACATGCGACCCTCGAGGAAGAGACAGACAAAAAGGGTGGATACACGCTCTGGCCTTAGCCCCTGATGTCACCTTGCCCAAGGTCTCAGCCTCAGAATGTCTCCATGTCTCAGTAAGGTACTGGAAGCGCGACATAGATGATGCCCACCTTTTGCCCGACACCCGTCCACAAAAAATCGATGGTGCCACTCAGCAGGAGCCATTGAGCTGTTGATATTGTGCACCATGTCTGTCAGACTTCCACCGAATCAACCCAGCAAAGCTACGTAGAGTTCTTCAAGGGGGCGCCTCAAAATCCGGAACAGATAGAAACAGATTACAGTACACTGTAGATGAATATACACGTAGTATACACAATCAAGTGTTTTATATGCACTTTTGCAACGATTTAATCTAAGGGCTTTACCGCTTTAGCGCTGGTAAGTTGGTCCGCTGTTGCTGCCAGTGGGCTTGTGGATTTGCTAGTGGGAGTAAACGCTTGCACCTTCAAAAACGAGCAGAAGGGTGCAATACTTTGGGTCTTGCCTAATAGCTGTAACAGTCAGTAAACACATTTTCCTTAAAACACACCCTCCAAAAGTGCGCCAAGTGTTTCCCCTTTTTGCTGCTACTCTTGCCCGGCCTTCTTGCTCACTGCTGCTATTTTTCATTGTTTTGTTTTAATTTTCAGTTGGCAATTGGCGCAATTCAACTTTCAAGTGGCAATTTGCCATTTAAAATAGTGATGGGGTTCAGTGGGTGATGGGGCCATGGGAAACTTCAATGCCTGGATCTCAGAGCGGCCATCCTTTTTCATTCTATTGAAATGTGCTCCACATGATGCTCAACTTTGTTTAGGTCCCAGTGTTGGTATTTGACTCTTGGCACTTTGTTGAGGCCGTTGCAGCGCCAGATGATCCACGTCTACAATGATGACAGGCTCACAGCTGTTACAAGGACGACGACTACGACGACGACGACTACTACTACCACTACTACTGCTGCTGCTACTGCTGCTGCTACTGCTACTGCTACTACCACTACTACTGTGCTACTACTACTTCTACTACTACTACTACTACTAATACTACTATATACTATATACTATATACTATATACTACTACTACTACTACTACTACTACTACTACTACTACTACTACTACTACTACTACTACTA